GACAGTGGTGCCTGAACTATCAAAAGAAAGAGTAAAACACTAAACCCTAAACCCTAAACCCTAAACCCTAAACCCTAGACACAGCTGTAGCTGAGCCCTAAACCCTAAAACCTAGAGACAGTGGTGCCTGAACTATCAAAAGAAAGAGTAAAACACTAAACCCTAAACCCTAAACCCTAAACCCTAGACACTGCTGTATTTGAGCCCTAAACCCTAAACCCTAGAGACAGTGGTGCCTGAACTATCAAAAGAAAGAGTAAAACACTAAACCCTAAACCCTAAACCCTAAACCCTAGAGATCGTTGTACCTGAACTCTCAAAAGAAAGAGTAAAACCCTAAACCCTAAACCCTAAACCCTAGAGATTGTTGTAGTAGAGTTGTATAAAGAAAGAGTAATATCATAAACCCTAAACCCTAAACCCTAGGAGTTGTCTAAAGCTGTTGCTCCTTCTGCATCTGCTGCTGCTGCTGCTCCCCTCTGCTGCTGCTGCTTCTCCTCCTCCTTCTGCCGCTCCTTCTGCTGCTGCTGCTGCTTCTGCTGCTGCTGCTCCTTCTGCCGCTCCTTCTGCTGCTGCTGCTGCTGCTGCTGCTGCTGCTGCTGCTGCTGCTGCTGCTGCTGCAGGCATTGTGGCAGGACGCATACGGGTTCAACAAAGAGGTGACGGTGACGAGCGCAGCGAGAAGAGGAAATAAATTTAAAATAGTTTTTACAGATGTCTTGGGGGCTGGCGGCATTGGAGTTGTTCTCTCCGTAAACCCTAAACCCTCATAAACCCTAAACCCTAATAAACCCTAAACCCTAATAAACCCTAAACCCTTGGTTTTTGGTTTTCACTTTTTTTTTTTTCCAGTGCAGGTAATTGCGGTTTGTTAAGGGGGAGGGGAGGGGTTTTTAGGGTTTATTAGGGTTTATTAGGGTTTATTAGGGTTTATTAGGGTTTATATTAGGGTGTATTAGGGTTTAGGGTTTAGGTTTTAGGGTTTAGTGTGTATTAGGGTTTAGAGTGTATAGTTTCTTGTGCATTAAGTTTTAGCTTTCATCATGCAGAGTATTCGTTCGTATCAGTGTGCACTAGGGTCTAGGGTTTAGGGTTTAGGGTTTAGGGTTTAGG